AGGGGCATTTTCGTCTAAATAATTATAAAATGGACATTGATAAATTTTTGGACATTTTTGCAAATGACAATGTAAAAATGGTCAGTTTTTCAAATTTCCGCTTCATTTAAATTAGAATATATTTGATCTAGAAAATTTAACAATCAGTCTCTCTGTAATTTTTGAATTAATCAAAATGCGGCAATTTAACGTTACACGCCTACTTTATTTCTCTCTTATCAATTTCATATAGCAGTTTGTGTACATATAAGTCGTCCCATTAAAAAAAATTTCCGATTTAGAGGCACCAAATTTATGATTAAATTAGGTATTTCGTTAAATGTTGTTTTAAAATTATTTTATCAATACAAACGGTTCGTTTTATAAGTCTTTATTCAATTAAATAACTAGTTTAACTTGTACGTTAAATAAATTAAAATTTAAGCAATTATATTGTGAGTATGAATAATAATTTAATAGTAGATATGAATGAATAAAAAATGTTTGACCATAAGTGATTATAAAAAATTAAACTTCCCAAGGATGCTCTAAATTAAAAATTTATTTAATCATAAATAATTATAATTATAATCATTTTCCAAACATGTGGTTAGTCAAGTCGGTGTCCGAACCATAAGACAACTATGTTTTACCAATATCATATGCGAATGATCCATGGTTAACAGGAACAACACAAATCAACTTAATTTGGAGGGCAGGCCTAGTACATTTCACAAACTTTGGCATAATTTACCTCGTACCAAAAAATTACAGCAATGGCAGGTCGGATTGGATCTTCTCGTAATCACAAGCCTGGAGCACATAATTGATCACTAAGCTCAGTTCTGCAAAAAAATTACATGACATAATTTCTTCATAGGTTTCAAAATTTGATTCAGAAGTATTATTTCTATGAATCCCTTGTGGTATCATCCATTATCTCCTTTATATTTGTAATCATCTTCAACACTTGCCACATTGTTGGCCTTTGCTCAGGCGAAGCCAAGCAACAGATGCTAGCCACCTCGACTAGCATTCTGAGTCGAGTATCCACTTCGGTATCATCTTCCCTCATTGCTCTAACCCAATCTGGCATATCAGGAGGGGCAAGGAATGGATGCTGGGCCGGTGGTTTTCCAGTCAAAAGTTCTAGTAAGAGGATGCCAAAAGCATACACGTCAGACTTGGTGGTGGCTTGACGTGTAGATTTGCGAATTTCAGGGGCCTTACAGACTGCAGAATCAGGATCATCGTCTGAGGACATATCTGCAAGAGTGACGAGGCAATAGTCTGTGAGGCAAGCCTCAAAATCGGATCCCAGCAAAACATTTGTTGATTTTAGATTTCCATGAACAAACTTGGATGCATGGTGGATGTAGGCTAGGCCCTGAGCTACATCTTCTGCTATCTTCAAACAGGATGTCCAGTGAAGAGGCTTTGCATGATTTGATCTTGAACCTGTAAGGCACATTTTAATGGAGGTATTAGAAATACGACAGTGAAAGGATTCTTGTTCATGAATCTTATGATACCAAGAGGTACTGAAAACTTGAGCTCAATAGTTGCCATTCAAAGAATTTAAGAAATGAATAATGCATTAACACTGCATATCCATATGATTTCCTAGTACATTCAAAAATTCATTTCAAAAAATTGACAGATCTCATGAAATTTGACATGAAAAGCATCAAAATGTTGGCAACAAACTTGGCTTTCATGCGACAAATTCCTTAGTTTTGTTTTTATTAATTGCAGTAAAATCCTGAGCCTTGCAAAATGATATAGCAAGAAGAAACAGATGGTAAGAGTTTTAAGGAAGCATCATCGTAGCCGTAGCTTTGTTGCACTACCCACTGCTACTTTAGCCCCGCTCAATTCCCCCTCTCTATTATCAAGTTCGACCATTGTAAATAGTAGCAAATATATGTTCGCGTCATGACCTCTTGTTCCAGGTCAATGAATACGTAATCGACTTCTGGATTCTCATTCGTTGCAACTTGCTTTGCTCTGCTGGAGGAAACTTCCTGAGTCAGACCAAACTTGGTCACCGAATCGTTTGAATGGAATGTATTTATTATGAAAGCGATTGTTCAGTCAAAAAAGAAAAAGCGAGGCAAAGTCACACGTTGAACAAAAGCCAAAGACTCTTCAGCAATTCCATCCTATTGGATTATGCAATCTTTCGTACAAAGTGGTGACAAAGTTTATTTCTAATCGATTGAAAGCTTTGATAAAGGGCCGTCCTACTCAAACAGCGAACTCTAATCTTATCGATGCAAGAAATTCGTAAACAAGCCCATCTAAACGCCTAGCAATAGCAGCCTTTATTGCAAGGAGAGCTTTCAACAAGGAAAGCTCAATCCCATCTCCAACTGAGACTGCTCAACCGATCACATCTATCATGGGAGCCTCCATCCCTTTCTCTTAATAATCTCTTTCGGAAGTGTGCACTAGGTTTAAGATAACAACACCAGTGCTAATATTTAGGGTTGCAACTGCTAATTACAATTACTATGCAATATGACTATCAAATAAAAGCCAAGTTCTTTTGAACGGTATTCCGTCAAATACTGTCACATCTCCATCTAGGCAATCCGGTCCGGCCAGATTATTCTATATACTATTTGTGTCATATGATTGATGCAATGCTGACTCCATTTGTTCAATAATCAACATGGTGGGCACCTAAATTAACAAGCATAGTGACAGATATCTCACCTTTAGACCCTACAAAAGCAAAGCATGTTACTCCCATAGTGTCAAACAATAACATATCAACTTGACTCTGCGACAAACCACCATCGTCGGAATTAGCCAGTGGGAACCCATTTTCCAATCACAATCAAAAAAGTCTCTACAACACTAATTGAACCACTAGAATACACTGTAGCTCCATTCACATTCTGAAAAAGAAAAAGTTCTTTCGGCAACTCTCACCATAGCCCATCTCAATCCACTGGTCCACCACGTTATATCCAAATCCCTCAAGACAGTGAAAGGAAAAACACCCTACTAAAAATTCTTGGTTATCACATAATACTTGGGCGTTCCAAAGAAAGAAACAAATTCTAAGATTCGTATTCTAATCCAAAACTCAATTAATCGAACTGGAGAAATGAACAAACAAAATTGAATTTGCAATTTATGGTAAAAGGGATGAGTTAGAGTAGGTCACCATGAATGAGTTTGAAGAGGCTGCCGTTGGGCTGATAATCGAAAATGATCAATCTTTCTTGTTTAGCCTGAAAATAAGCTCTAATAGGAACCAAATTAGGATGCCTCAATACGCCAACAGCCTCCATCTGCTGCTCAAATGCTTCGGCACTTGTAATGGCAGTCTTACATGCATCCAATCTCTTTACAGATACTACCAAATTAGTCCCCATTGAGGCTTTATACGTCGTTCCAATCGTTCCCCTCCCAAGCAATTCGGCTGATGCGCTCATTAATTGTTCCAAACTGTATGATTCTTTTTCCCCAGAACAAAACATCAAGCTCCCACTTTTCATTACTCGTGGTTTCTCTGGACTTTTCATCTTCTTTATTTCACTTTCAGCATTTGCACTTTCATCTTGAAGTGAAAACGAATTTGTGTCTCTTTGACCTTTATTATCTGCAGTTGCATCAGCAAAATAATATTCTTCTTCTTTTGCTTTTGCTTCAATTTCTTTTTTCTCTTCTTTCCGCTTTTTTATTAGAGCAAAGAGGCACAAAACTGCTGCTGTTAGAATCAACGCTCCAGTAACAAAGCCTAAAACTACTCCAACTTTATTGTGATGATTCCTTCGAGACGAAGGCGAAAGGGCATTTAATCCTTGCTGTGACTGAGCATTCTGAAGTAGCGGTGAAGGCGGCGGGGAAAAATCTGTGGCGGCGCCACCGCCTGAAGTAACGTTAAAGAACGGCGAACCGGAGCATGGCTTGTTAATATTCTCGCCGCAGAGATTGGGATTGTTTGAAAATGAAATTATCTTGAACTTTTTGAGAGTGGGGGTAACTGGTATAGGACCGGTGAGGTTATTACTCGAGACATTAAAGACCTCTAACATAGTTTGATTCAGTGGAGGAATGGACCCATAAAACCGGTTGGAATCGAGGCGGAGATAACTCAAGCGGTCTAAAACCGTCAGGGTTTCCGGCAGCAAACCGGTGAAATTGTTGTGAGACAAATCAAGAATCAATAGCCGGTGGAGGGACAAAAGGGAGAGAGGAAATGTTCCTGAAAAATAGTTATTATCAAGAAACAGAGTTTTCAGGTTGGTGAACGAGGAAAAATCCGGGAGGAGGCCCGTTAACGAGTTGTTTTTGAGACTCAGAACTCGGAGCTGGTCGAGACGAGTGAGGGTGGCGGCGGGGAAGGTGCCTCGGAGGCCAAAACCCTGTACAATGTAGCGTACTACACGACCTTGAGCACATTTGACGCCTTGCCATGTACAGTAATCAAGCCGTTCGTTAATGGTGTAGAGAAGCTTATTATCAAGGTCAGCTTTGGACTTGAAGGAGAGGAGAGAAACTGCGTCAGGTAAAAGGGAAGTATGTGCGTTAACATCAGCACCACCGCTTCTAGTGGCGGTGGTTCGTGCAAGAATCAAAACTAGTAAGGAAAAATGAAATAGTTTCATTATTGCTAGAAAAAGAGCAAGTGGAAAGGATTGTTTTGCTACTTTTCAGATGTTTCATTTAAAGGAAAAATGGGTGATTTTCGGCGGAACAAAAGAAGCAGCTGGCTAAGAACGTGGAAAGAAAAATATTGGGAACCGTTTTTTGGTTCTTGTTTTGGAATTGGCCCGTGTGTTCTACATTTTTGCAGATGCTAACGTGATTTGCGCTGATAATTTTTATTTTGGTTAATTAGCACAAAATGTATCCAACTTTTATTATTGCGGACAACGTCCTTTTTTTTTTTTTCATTTTTACTCTTAATTACAAGTTTGATTGTGCAAAAAATAATTTCCTCCAATTTTCATTTGTATTTTTGTCTTACAATCTTTTTTTTCCTCCTTTTTCCCTAATTGAACCCATTTTTTATATACAAACATTTGAAAATTAACCATTTGATTTGAGGATTCAAGTCAGTTTTATGATTCCATTTTCAAAAATGCTACTTGTACATCACAATTTGTACATAAGGGACTACACCCATCTCACATGGAGTTTGGGACCCATTGCATAAATTATTTTTTAATCTAAACGGGTCTTACCCTTATGTGAGGGGGGTGTACACCCCGATGTACAATGTGATGTACAAGTAGCAAGGCCGTTCCATTTTTCTCTTATCTCCGATCATCATATTTACTAGTATTAGAAGAGTCCATTCTAATTGAGCACCATGGGAAAAAAAAAAACCCCCCAATAATGCTAAAAGCACCCTCCTTTCTTTACATTCTCTTCGATAATGTCTTTGTTTTGTGAAAATTATGGATGGAAAAATTGATTTTGTTTTTAAACTGTCCAATGACGCTTTGTTTTATGGCACAATGTAAAAAATGATGTACTAGCATGATTGAAAACCTACACCGACAGACTATCCTTCTATCCTATTCCTATGTAATATGTAAGGAAGTTTTACAATTGACCATTGTTGGAATTTTCTTATTGCACAATTGGTCTCCACATGCAATATATTTCTTTACAAAAAAACAAAAAAAAAATATTTCTCCACATGCAACTTAGTTGAAAAAAAAAATAATCTAAGAATGGGAGAGAGGAAGAGAAAAGTGAAGAAGAATGATATTTCTTTACATCATTTCTCAAATTATTTTGTTTTATCAAGTTAGTGCAATTATCACCGAATGATCAAACTTGAATCCAATATGGGACCAAACAAACGAATATACTTTTCCTAAATGTCTCTTGAGATATTGAAATCATTTAAAGCTTGTTTTGTAAATGTTTTTAAACGGTTTAAATTATATATAGATAGAAATGAAAGTCGGTATAAGTGTATAATATTTGCGCATCTCATAAATATGTGAGTAAAAAGTAATTTGACCATTTATAAATACTAGTAAAACATTTATATATTTAGAACGAAAGATTCGTCGTCGGTTTGACTGGTCTTGCTTTTAACTTTATGCTTCTTTTAAAGGAGATTTTTGAAAAAATTATTTTAAGTCAACTTTCTCTAAAAATTATTCCAGACAAATAAAATAATTTTAAAAAATTATTCAAATATATTTAAAAATAATTTCTTAATTTTAAACAACCATGCAAAAAAGGCACTTAATCATGAATTCTTCTGATGGAAGGAAAAGCCGAAGATTGAGGTATCATTTTTCCTAAAGTGGCCCATATATGTTGAAATTTTGTACACTCCAACTCCTACTTTACTTTGATCCACACTATAAAGTCAGGTAAAATCTAAAAAGTAAAGGATTTTTTTTTTGCCCTTTATAGAATTAGCTTTAGTGTGTGGCATCTTCTGGAAAACCAGAACTTTTCGTTCATCTTTCTCGTACCATGTGGCCTGTACCGCCTCCTGCTGTTCATTATCTTGGCTTACATTAGAGGCTCAATTCACCATAACACCAGGAGTTTCATTTTCTTAAATCCTCAACATTTTATCAACAAACCGTTTGTTTCCCATTATTTGTCAACAATAATTAATTTTGTGACCCTTTTTTTCCAACACATGGGTCCCATTGGGAGATAGAAAGTCAAAAAAAAAAAAAGGGAGTTGCCACATTTGCAACGGTTGGAAAATGTATTAAAATGAGGTAAAATAATGAGAAACAAACAGGGGCCAAATTTTATTGTTGTTACTGTGTTGACATCTATGTCCAAGAAACCTACCTCAATTTCGATGTTGGAGGCACAATGCTATATATGAGTTGTTAGCAATGTTTTAAAAATTTTTGCCAAGAATTAATCTACCACATCAACAAATAATTCTGCCGAATCCACCTTTTTTCTTCAATTCCAATGCTGCGTCTCCACTTCGGTCGTGTACAAATATTTAATTCAGCAGCCTCAATCCTTTGGCCCGGTTTCAGTCTGCTTCTTTCTCCTTCCGGCCGGTTAAACGGGTTGTCTGCCAATATATGTATAAAATTTCAGCCCACAGAAACCCTTTTTTCTCCTTCTCTCAGCTTCTTCCTGCGGCGGGGTTTGTGCGTATAATTTATTTTCAGCTCCCAATCCCCACACCATATCTGTCTGCGTGCATGTATATATATGTAAGTGTCCCCAGATTCTGTCTCCA